ATTTAAAGGGAGTTAAAATAATCCTTCGAGTATCGTTCGAGAGATTTTATAAAATTTGGCAAAGACGGTATAGACGGTACAAATAAAATACGGTCTTCTTTTTTATTCAGCTTTCGTTTTCTTTTATAGCCGATCAATGACGCAAAAGGAATACGATAACGCGGTTGTTTTTACAAGTTTTTACGACAAATCGTGTAACCATTCGCGCGTCATCCTCCACTCTCCGTCCGAAATTCAATTACATATTTGTTGGTTACAATAAGATATTCGTTTCGCGTAGTCCTTCCGCAAGGACTCGCGTATTTGATATGCCAGTAACGAATTAACCGCTCTGCCGGAATCGCGTTACAGCTATTGACCCAGAGTACGTAGCACCCCATACGATCACTGTTCCTTTCCGACTCCACGGTGTTAACCCGATCCAGGTTGATAGACAGCGAGTTCCACAATCTCTTCGAAACGTTTAATTGCCATTTTCTCTCGAGCCTTTGTCTTCGAACAATTTCAAACACCCTCTCAAAATCGTCTTTCAATACCGCTCTTTCTTCGTTTCCGAAAACTACCCCATCCTTCTTTCTCGAGACAAAAGCAATATCCTTTTGTCGACCAGTATCCTTTTCTTAAAAACTACGAAGCGTATGAAGCAATTGTATGAAGTTCGCTCGCAGGTTCTCGCCTCCATTCTCACCCCCCCTCATCCACCGCGGGAATAAATTTACTCGATAGCTCGCTGCTCGAATGGATAAAACGAGTAATTAGCCGGTACGGGCGAGGTTGGTCGTAGGACAGTTTGGATAGGCGAGGAGTCCATAGGCGTGGCGGCGCTCGGCCACGATCGTAGAGCAAACGCGCGGCAAAAGCGGCCACCCGCTCGGCCGGCATACATTATTCAAACGCTATCATGCCTGTGTTTGCTGACATGCCAGCCGAATGTATCTGGGTGAATGTCGACGTAACATTAACCACGCCCCGTGGACGGCCCCTCGATTCCGGTTTTGCATTTAAACATTAAACGCTGACCAATGGGAACGTAATCCGCATTATTCGAAACCCGTTCCCTCCCTCTACTCCCCCACGGTCGTTAACCTTTTATCAACCGAGGAGGAATATTGGTCCTGACCGATCGACCTCACCTTCCATTCCAAACCTTCCACCAAACGTTGATTCGATACCGTCTGAACGCGAACTCGACCCTTGGAAAGGGTCGATGAAGGAAAACGTGAAATTATTTCGCATTTGACGGAAGACGAGCCAATTGTTTCTGCTCGATTTGATTAAAAGAAAGAAGGAGAAGGATATATAACACAACAAGCGTGTAGGAACACTTGCGGGTGAACACAATTCGATCGCGTGCGCGAAGGTGTGAAAGTGGCCAAAATGCAATTTCATAATTTTACGAGGTGGCGAGGCGGTTAAATGAATTAAACATGGGGCGGTAATCCAATTCGAGCCTTGAATGATCCTTAACAACCACCTTGACACACATACAAACCGAATATATTAACGCGCCTCTCCTTGCCATTAGTTTTTCCATTACGCAAAACCGATCGTGCCTACGCGCCAACTACTAAAATTGGACGGAATAATAGATACGTTTATACGACGCCTTGACGACACGCTCGTCGAATAAAATTCGACTTGCTCTTTTACTTGCTCTACTCTCTTTTGCTTCCATTGCTATTCTCACTACTCTTTCGAATCCTGATCCTCATCGAAACTCCTTTTCCCTCGATGTTAAAAAATCCCTCCAACAGCGTTCGACGAAGCGACTGCTCCTCGATCATCGATCCACGCGCTTCGAAAACGAAAACAAAAAAGAAAAGAAAAGAAAAGAAAGATTGGCCAATTAAACGCGCCATTTAGCCAGTCAGGAAGGGTTAAGAACAAGATGGGATTTTTATTAGGCCGCTATCGCGCTTAACGGCTGTAAAACGATCCCTACCCCTTTCACGTTGATCGCTCGACCGCCATCCGGAACACGGCGTTGCCCCCATTACACCACGCTGAAAACTCGTAAAGAGGCGGGGGCGGATGGAGGGAAAAAGCCAGCGTTCGGTCACCGTCTTGTTTTCGCGTTTTACAACCGCCCTCCTCTCTCCTTTCCACCGAGAACAACACGCTCCTTTCCTTCCTTCCTTCCTTTCTTCCTGCTTCGCTTGGTCCCGCGGGGACAATCACGGAGACGACACCGACGCGACGGACGACGAGCACCGCGAGTTCGCGGGGGTGGGAAATTTCATTTGCCATCGATGCGCCACCGATGCTCGTGTTCATTCTCTCGTTAGAGGGGCCGGCCACTTTGCTTTGGTAATTTAAAGTTTGGGAAGAGGGGGAGGACGGGGACAAGTTTTCTTTTCGGAATAAAGAGGGAGGGATGGAGTTTGGAATGGAAAAGTATGAGAGTTAAAGAGTGTTAAAGTGGTTCTTTTTAACCGGGGATCGATTAACGAGGGGAATCGTTGTCGTAATTTTGTCGATCGTGGTCGAAGAAGAATTGTAGGAGTAAATTTTTAAACCGTTTAAAAGAATCTTACATACCTGCAATACGTGTAAACATTTTAAATTATTTGAAAAAAGATACGATGCTAGACTAGCTTTAATTTTAACTCTCGGGCCCTAATTTCGTTCACAATTCTTCGATCGAATTCTTATGAACGATGGAAAATTTATCGTTTTTATTATCGGACAAATGTCCGACAAGCGATAAACGAACGAGGAATATTTTGTATTTTTTCTTTTTCTTTTTTTTTCTTTTTTTTACGGCTCGGTATCGGTTCAAGGGTTCCGTTGGAATTTGGGATAGGTACACCACGGTCGCGCGCTCCGACTTTTTTACGACGGCGAATGCAGAAACGAGCGTGCTACGTGCATCGCATACGGGACCGTATGCAACGATGCTTACTAAAATGCGGGCAGCCCGTCGTGAATTACGTCAAACGGTGCTTCCCCGACGGATCTGATCCCTCCGCGTTCTCAATTTTCCACCATCGGGGGAAAATCGTGTCCCCGTTGTGTAAATTTTAACCAATTTTAACCCCGAAAGTACGCGAGTTTTCAATTTATTTTTTTATTCGAGCGAAGAAGAACCAAGTTTCTTTCTGTCAAGTTTCGATTTTTGATTTTGATACCGAAAAGAATCGCGTGGAAAATTTGTGGGGAGATTCGAAGCGGAGATTTGGAAGAAACGATGCTCGATCGATAAAAGTTAGCCTCCGAGATTCGAGGTCTCGTGTGATACATCGATCATAAACTTAAAGAGATTTACGAGGTGGTATTTTAATAATAACTTATTTCATGGAGGAAGACGCTCGAAGGGGAATGAAAAAAAAAAAAAAAAAAGAATAAAACCCGTCCACGATACGTCAAATAAATAAAAATATAGGTTACTTTTTCTTGGTTCTCGGGTGAAACGTTGTAATATATGGTCAGACGTCTGTATCGCAAACGGATGCATGTGTTGCATAGCAATCGCGTGGTAATCGCATAGTAATTGTACGCCTAATTGCGCACAGAGGAGAAATTCTCCACGAGTTTAATAATCAATTGGAAAGTGGAAATGAGAATTGGTTGGAGCAATTCCTTTTCGCCCTTTCCAATCGTTCTTAAAAAAAAAAAAAAAAAAAAAAAAAACACTTTCGAATTTTCATCTCTCGAAAACGTAAATAAACTTAAGCAGCCTAACTCGTTTGCCGCGTTTCAGTTGTTTCGAATCAAATGCAAATCGTTGATGTATCGATCGCGATGCGTCGTTCGTCGGGTATGTCGCGTCACGGTAATCGTGAATCATCCTTGAAAACTGCGTACTTATTTTATATTTGAAATTCGTCTTAAACGTAGTTCACTACTTCTAACGCCTTGCGAGGCAACTATGTTCGCTGCATTCGAATTGCAAAAAAAAAAATCTACAGCCTTAATCGCTCCTCGTTGTGTGCTAATGCAACGAAATGAACGATACCTTTTGCGAAACGGCCGCTTCTTCGATCGATCGATACGTCGTACCGTAAACGAAAAATATTTCACCAGCTATATAACATAACAACTCCTCCTCTCTTCGCGAAATAAAAATAATTCGTCCGAAGGAAGAAGGAAGAATCGCTCCATCTTTCGAAGGGGAT